GTGCAGCTCCGTGCCTGCAGCGGTCTCCCGGGAGCTCACTGCCCTGGGAGAGGCTGAAGAAGGGGGACAGGCGCTCTGGGCGGTCCTGTGGGGCCATGGACACAGTCCCCTCTGGGCGCGCACGGCTCTCGCCGCCTTCGCTGCTCCTCTCTCAGCCTAGACCCGCTGCACAGCCTCGATTCTGAAAGGAACTTGGTTTTACTTAAAAACAAACCCTTCCCTAAGGCGTGGAAGGTGGGCTGTCCACGCTCTGCTTTTTGTGGCCTCGTTAGCGGCAGCACTAGTGCCGTTCATTTAACCTGGGAACGCCCGGCTCTGGGCCCTCCTCCCCCAGGGCGGCCACTGGGAGGTCCCACGCTGGTCAGTCTTTGCTGGGCTCCTGCCGCCCCATCCGTCCTGCCTCTGAGTGGCTTCTCTACTGTAAAGGGGGGGGGGGGGGGTATTGCCCTCCTGGGATTAGAAGCGGTCAAGTAGGGCGCAGGTGAAATTCAGAGTCTTGACTTTGCAATAAGTCAGCCCCACCAGCTCTGCTTCTGCTGCTGAATTTAGCAGGCGGGCACTGAGGGGCGTGGGGGGACTGGGTGTGTGGCTGCCCTCAAACCCTGAACGCCGGAGGGAGGGCCGGTGGTGCAGGCTGGGCGGGGACCTGGGCCAGGCTCCCCTCTCTCCCTCATGCCCCTCCTGTAACGCATGCTCTGCGGGGACCTGGGCCTCCGCGGGCCACCGAGACCCTGTATTGAGACCGAGACCACGGAGCAAGGGCTTCCTCTCCTCACAGGCTGTCCACACGCCCGGCCCCTGCTGTCAGGGCGGGAGTGTATGCCCGGCTCCACGCTCAGCACACAGCCCAGCTAGAGGCAAAATGACTAAGAAACAGAAACAAACTCTGAGACCGCACAAGTGAGCGAGCAGGAGGCAAGGCGGGAAGCTCGGGAGGCCTCAGCTCGGGCCTGCGGCTCTGCCATGGCCGTTGTCCCGCGCAGGGCGCTGGGACCGTGCTCGTGAGCATCCCCTCCCCCAGTGCCTCCAAGCACACCCTCTGCCTGTGGCCGGGGGAGGGGGGCGCGTCCAGGGCCTGCCACGGGAGCTCTCATGGCTGCGACCTAATGCTATTCCCGCTCGTCCCTGCAGGCGTCATTCTCTACATCCTGCTGGTGGGGTACCCCCCGTTCTGGGACGAGGACCAGCACAGACTCTACCAGCAGATCAAGGCCGGAGCTTACGACGTACGTGGGGGCCGGGGCTTCCCGGGGCGCTCTCGGAGGGCAGCCCGCCTCCTCTCCGCCGCATGCAGGTCACCCACGGGCTCCGTGGTCGTCCTCACAGGGAAACGCGGCGCGTCTTGCATGTCCTCAGCCACGTCTGCTGAGAGCGAGAGGGAAGTGGCTCCCGGGCTCTGGGGAAGGACATCTTGTCCAGTGTCGGCTCTTGGTGCATTTGATCACCTAAGAGTGGAGACGTGTTTGCTGTGGGAAGGCTTCCCCCGTGGGTTTAATCCAGTCCCCAGTGCCTGTCGTCACCTGCCGCCATGTGGCAGCGGTCGGCAGTGCACGGGCCTCACCGCCCCTCCCAGCCACTGGGCTCCGTGCCTCCTGGGCCCTGGGCTGGCTTCCGTTCGAAGAAGGGGCTGCACAGGGAAGGCCTTTGAAAGGCACAGCCCAGACGTGCTGTTGACGATGGGACGTTTGTATGTGCACCCACCCATGGACTGAGTTCTGAGTCTGAAGAGTAAGGCCGCATTGCTTCCCTTCTTTCTTTTCTTTTTAATACATTTTTATTGATTTCAGAGAGGAAGGGAGAAGGTGGGATAGAAACATCAGTGATGAGAGAGAATCATTGACCGGCTGCCTCCTGCACGCCCCACACTGGGGGTCGAGCCCAAAACCCGGGCCTGTGTCCTGACTGGGGATCGAACCCTGACCTCCTGGTTCATAGGTCGACGCTCAACCACTGAGCCACGCCGGCCGGGCTGGGTGTAAACTCTTAACCCTTCACTGAGAGCATCTCTGCTGAATGTGCTCATTATGTGAGTGAGGCTGCGTCATTATCAACAAAAACGCCACTTAGAGAAACAGGGTGACGCTTCGCTGTGAAGTCCCTGGTGAAGCGATTCCTGAGGGAAGTCAGGGAGCGGCCCTTCCAGGACTGCTCTGGCGAGGTTCCTGGCGAGGGGCCGCCTTCGGAAGGGCTGGCGTCCGGCCGAGGCTCACGGCCCACGCAGCCCGGACGTGGCTAGCCACCCTGCCCTCCCTGCTCAGGACGGGAGGTGCCCCGGGACCGGCACAGCGGCACGCGGGCGTCGGTGCCTGGGGCAGCTCTCCGCTCGTGCGTTAGTGATTTCTGTAAATAATTATGGGGAGGGTTGCCTAGAATTTCATGTTCAGATCCACGCGAAACTCCTATGAGCGGACTAAGATTCTCAGAATTTCCTAAACTCCAGGGTGTGTGGACCAGACATCACATGCGGCCGAGTGTGTGTGTTTGCCCCCAGCAGCGCCTCTTCTCTGACTGACAGAATGTGACTAGGGGACGGGCAGCTTCCACCTCGGTCGGCTTCTCTGGACGGTTCTGCTCCGACAGCGTGACCGATGGGAAGCTCACGGCCGCGGGGGTGTCTGTACTTGCTGCTGCCTGTCCCACGGAGGGGACCTGCCTCTAACTCTGAGTTTATGCCTTGAAGTTCCCATCACCAGAGTGGGACACGGTGACTCCCGAAGCCAAAGACCTCATCAACCGCATGCTGACCATCAACCCCGCCAAGCGCATCACCGCGTGCGAGGCGCTGAAGCACCCGTGGATCTGCGTGAGTGGGGCCCCCGCCCGCCCAGCGGCTGGCAGGAAAGGGCTGCCTTGGCTTGCAGGGGCTTAGAGCACTTTTTGCAGGAAGAGGAGATGAGTGATTGCATTTTGTCTCCAGGTGTTTAAGGAGCTAATTTCATGGTTAAAAACGCATTGTGGTAGCAGAGCTGGTTACATACATGACCAGACCCACATTGCCGACCGTCACACGGGCGAGCGTCGCCCACTCATGATGAGTAACATTCACGAGCGGGAGTGAGGAGGTGACACCAGGCCTCACTGCGTCCCGGAAAAAAGGTGGCCCGGGGCCATGACTTACAATCAGGCAGCTTTAGGGGAGCTCAGGGCTGGCAGCTGAGAGGTGGTCCGCGCAGGAGAGAGGCCGCCAGAGGCCGGGCAGAGCTGTACGCCTGCCGAGAACACAGCCTGAGCGCTGGGGGTGGATTGCAGCCACGCCGAGGGACGCGGGTCAGACGTCAGGGTGCTCGAGAGGCAGGCCTGTGGGCATCCGATGAGCCCTGTGTTGAAGGGAGGTAACGGGAGAGGCTGGCTAGTGTACACAGCTGGCGTGTGTGCGGAGGGTCTGGGGCCTGGCCAGGTGGTGGGGTGCTGAGGGGGAGCCCTGGGTAACGTCCCTCCTCCCACAGCAACGCTCCACGGTGGCCTCCATGATGCACAGGCAGGAGACGGTGGACTGCCTGAAGAAGTTCAACGCGCGGAGGAAGCTCAAGGTGAGGGCGCTCT